GTGTAATGCATTCACTTAAATCAACGCCACGAGGGTGCGCACTTAGTGCACCCGCTGGGCAGGGGATCCCCACCAGGTCAAGGGATTTTGCTCGCATTTGCGCGACTGAGTACAAATCGCACTTGGGCCGAAACTGGCATAAGTTGGCATGACCTGCCTTAAGGAAAGCAAAAGTTTATGCTCATTCTTCGGCCATTCTAAAAGCCCACTCAAAGCACTACTTTCAGTGATATCATCCGTATATGTAGAACATGTTTAATCGACCAACAAATTTCCACACGTTCACCCACCTTTACTCACCACTTTCCAAAATGTTCACGTTTATTGAGCATAAATAGGTATTATATAGTAGTACATATCGCAAGTTTGCCTAATTTTCCTCAGAATACAATCGCTACCCTGAGTCCCAGTTCAATGACGAGCACTAAAACTGTGCTGGAAAGATCATGTTTATTCAATTTCATGTTGATATTACCATCTTTTTGTTTAAGCTTCGTGCATCGATATTCCCTCTCAATCCTTACTTGGCTCATACCTACCAGGCATTTTTGGCACTAATTACTGCAACATTAGGAAGGAGACAAAGAAACAAGTCGACACACTTCTGATACTGCCTCTAACAGATCTGCAAACCGTGCTCATGCAGCACACTGTGGGAGGTCATTTCAAGCGTCTCACAAAGAGCTATGTCCCCACTTAAGGCTGACTCCAGCTTGCCGTTGTTTTATGTCACGCCAGAAAGTTTTCGGATTCGTTAGCTATCATGGGAGACCTCCTTTCAAAATACCAAAATCAGTTTCGGCAACAGCTGCAAGGCACACGTTGATGATTTTCTGCTAGTTTGCACCAACAAAAATACCAATTATAGTCGAAAGTCCGACTTAAATTTAATTTTGGAATTTCGTCTGTTGAGTTGGCAAGTAATTTTAAGTAGTAGCTATTGTATATTATTGCAAATCCGCATGAACACCAAACTGTGGAACAAACTTAAAGGTGGCAAATCTGCAAAACAAGCCATCGCATAACAAATTAATGCAAAAAACAGTTAAAGAAATAGATATAAACGCATAAAAAAGGGGAAGGACGCTGTATGAATGAGGACAAAATGCACAAAGTGTTAATACCGGCCGTGAAAGGTGCAGACTTAATACGGAGGAAAAGACGCCTAGCCCTTGAGGATATAGAGAGCAACTCCATGACATTGACTTATTTCTCAAGGGTCATAAAGGGCCCTCCTCATCCGCAAAGGGCGAGGTTCACAGAATCACCACCCTTGTCGTTGCCAAACCGGAAGTAATGTCGTCTAAGCTGCTCTTATGTTGGTTCCTTAAATAGAAGAGTTCATTGTTGAACCCTGTCCCCAATTCTAATTGGTCAATGCAAACTGACATGCCCGCACCAGCACAGAATTGCGTGTATGTGCTGATGGCATGTGATTACTACCCTGGCCCTTGCTCTATAGGAGAGTGCGTACGTGCATATGCAGTGCAGTGCAGTGTGCATTGTCGTTCTTACATGCCTTCACCGTGGTGTGCGCATGTGGACAGGTGCATGGGCGATTGATTATACACACACCGCCCACCCACCCATTCACCCTGCCACCTCTAACTTGGCTACAAGCGCGTGCTCATCCACCGCACGCATTGATCCACTCACAGGCAGTGGAGTCGGTGAGACGTGTGCCTGTATGGCGAACAGGGCTGACGAGTGTGTAAGCCCTCACCTCGCCAATACTATTCGCTTCGACTAGCGAGTAGGAAAGCCAACTGAGCCTCTTCTACCTACTTCCGGTGCCCCTGTTCTGCCATACTGTACCTTCTCAATAGATCGCCTCGATTATAAGCAGTAGTCTATCCCTTCCTCTAGTTTCTCCGCCATTAGTGGCAGTTGAGCTAAGCACAAGCAGTCTAGCTAACATAAGGGACCCACTTGACACCTGGGAAGGTATTAAGACAAATAGAAATTTACGCCCTAATATTCTCTAATCAAAGTACACCTCCAATTGTTGAAGTACATCGCTGTTGCATTGGATACAATTTCAAAAGTTCCGAATGCACTCGGATGTTTAAAAGAAGGAATAAATATCGCCACGACCGATAATACCGGCTATATCATTGCATTTTCCTTTTATATTCATAATATTGTCAGCTTGTTTGTCATCTGAAATGGAGGGCGCGATGTGATGTAATGGGCAACTGGCAAATAATTGGCTATGAATGACTTCCATGAAATAAGAGACAAACACACTCATTCTTCACCTTAAGTCGGCCTTAACCATTGCCTTTCACCTAAACAAAGTGTCATTATTGGACTGTTTAACTTAGTGCAAAAGTAAGTCAATGAGACATCACGTTTGCAGAACAACTCCGAGTCTAAACGTTTTTTGCATAGACAATCTCAAATTCCCGATGGATAGTTTATTTCAAAGCCCAATTTTCGCAATTCGCATTTCGACAGGCAAATAAAGAATAAATAATGCATGTTCTTTTGCTGGATTAGCTGTGCTTATACAAGAGAGAACAGGCATAAGCACTTTGCATCCGTTTTGAAAAATGTTCTGTGCTTATTTAACAGATTTCCTTACCAGAATAAAAAAAAGCATTATGCAAACAGTTCCGATTTGCGCATATTGGTCCTCGGTATAAAAAAGGTCCGCTTAGATGAAAAGCCTTCGAGCCCAGCACAGACCTCCGCCCTTCAAAGTCAGTTGACCTTTGAACGCTCGTTCGAGCTGCTCACCCGCAGAGTGAAGTGTAAGAGATGCGACGGCACCACGAGCAGTTCCACTTAACTGCTAATCGGAGTCATAGAGCTACAAAGTCCAAACTTACTGTGCCACAGCACAAGCACATAAGCAGACGCTGCACCGACTTAAACTAAATGTAAATTTGCGTCTCAGTTGCAAACTAAAAAATACGAGCAATGTTGTAAATTAGAAGAGGTGCAGGTCGTCGGACGTACAGTCTACCACGGCCGTTTCGTTGCAGCGCCTGACCACGAAACATGCGTATTTCAGTACTATGACATCATTTTGCAGTCAATTTTTCAAGTTGCTTAATGTCTCATCATGCAAAACAAAGCAGAGGTTTTGAAAATAAATAATAAATTTAAGGCCAATTCCCTCAAAGTTCAATTTTAAAAGTTGAACTAATACCGGAATCAAATATCCCCCCAAAAGAAATCCTTGTTTCATGTGAGTAGCAATTATCTTCTCGCATGAACAGGTTCCGAGTGTGGCGAGAAAAATGCCAATTCACATATGTGATTGAGAAGGATAAAGCTCATTAAAATAATTAGCATAAACCTATTCCGACCACGCAACAATTAACATGGGCCCAAGCCTCTCATCAACACCCCATTTTAAAGGCGAGCTTATGACAACAAGCTACATAAATTTATTTAAAATAAGTGGGTAAGAGGGAGACGCGATTTGGATTTGATTTGATTCTTTTTGCTTGCATCACCGAAGAGTGCAAACACCATTTCTTCGTCAATTTAATCTGTTATCAAAATACGCGAAAGTCATTGACTTTCCCGGCTACAATGCAACCTATCCTACTGGCAACGCAGCAATGAAAGGGGAACGTTTTAACTAACTCTTCTGCATCTTGTGTCGACAAAACCAATGCTAAACCTTGGGAGCGAATACAATGAAACTATCGTGGGGTCCATGTGCTAAAGACTGACATGAAATTTGATCACGCAACTTCACTTCTTTTCCTTCATTTACTAAAAGATAGCGATATCACACAGTCAAAAGACTCCGAAGACTCAAAAACATTCCATAAGCGGCATTTCTTTCCCATTCTGTCTCCTTCTTAAGTTCAAAAGCCATTTGTGCTCAACCTGCTCCAGATTATGTTCACAGATTGCAGGTTAAACCTAGTTCCACTTGAACGCGCATCTATCTCTTAGGGTCTTACCTTCCGTGGTTTGACGGAATCCCGAAGCGGCGTCGCTGACGGTGGGGGACAAGAGCCTTAATTACGCACTATAGCTATTCATTATCGATAATCGTATTAAAAATGTGGCTGGCGACAAGACTTAGCGGGGAAAGTGAGGAACATCCCGAAATAATTACATGCAAATCTCTCACCCGATGCAAATGAGCAGCCATAGAGCCTTTTGCTTTGCACACGGAATTAATCAGCCTGTGTGGTACACGCAAGTATGTTGTCATTGACAACGTGTAAGCAAACAGCCCAAGAGAAGAGCGCGAACTGTTGCCAAGTAATTTGGATCGTACTTCCTCCTTCCAACTCGAACCCCAGCTACTTTGCACCATAAATTCTTGAGAAAATATACGATTGTAGTTAAGTTCTTCCAAACATTTGCCCAACTCTTGCCAGACCATGGGTTTTCAGTTGGAGGCAAACGATTTACATAGTTGAAAGTTAACATGGATTTAAATCAGTTCCTGCAATCGCCTGCATTAGGCCGCCTATCAATATGACCGCACACTAAAATCTTCAATAACGGTTCATCATTTATTCGTTTTCACAGTAACTGTCGTATGACCGAATAGAGGGCTTGTCAGCCCATCTATAAGTTGTACGTCCTACTAAAACACTACTTAGAATATTTAATTTATTACTGCTTCAGTCGGAAGTCCAAAATGACACTCAATGTGGAAACAACGAAGCATAGTCACGAATGATTGTGCTATTTACTGTTTTTATTAATGGAAATCGACACATGCCCTGATTTCCTAACAAACTACTGATAGAAAATGAGAAGATCATGCCATCATCCAGGCTCATAAGTCGACTCGAAATCCGAAAGACTGAAGGTTTTAGAGACCCATTTCAAAGGAAGTGGCATTAAAATTCCAAGCAAAAACGCAACAATAAAGGTCGATTATCCGTGACAGTTGTGACTTTTTATGGACTGTAAACTTCAAGGAGAAATCGACGAAACGGCACCCAATAAGCGTAAAAGCCGAATAGTGAGCTATTAAAACAAAATAAGACGTTACCATAATTTTGTCAGTAGCATTTGCATTAAGTCGATACTTTTCGACAATTTGGTCTTTCTGGACTTTCGGAAACGTGTCTGTCGCAGTCATGAACCTCGTCAGCCTTTGGTCGGAAGCACATGCCACACTTGTCACAGTGTTTGGAACCCGGAGGGCGACACGTGTTACATGATGCACAATGCTGGTATGTCTCGCCATGCTAAAAAAGCACAATACATTAACGGATTCCTAAGTAGTAGCTTTTGCAGCCAATCCAAGGAAAAGTACTCACAATAGTTGTGCAGGCATTGCATTGGTCGCAGTGCAAGTTTTTTAAATCTGAATAACGTTGGCAAGTTTCACAAAACCAATATTGATTGGCGAGACTTTTAGGAGGCAGAAATTCATGAGCGGGTACATCAGTGAATGGTCGAACAACTGAAACTCTTCTTTTTGAATCAATCCCATCATGTCCTGTGCTCATGTAGCGCACATGATTCTCGTAGGTCACCTAATATGAGGGTGAATCAAACCTCGGACCTTCGATTACCTTATAATCGAGCATTTTCAGTTCTGGGGCGACTTGCAAAAGTTTCTTGCCAATAAAATATGGAATCGTCACCACTAAAAAAACCTGTGAACTTCCCAGTCCTTGTTTAAGCTTATTTAGGGTTTCCACAAGGGGCTTCATCAAGGCGCCAAATGGAGGATCACAGAATATTATAGTGCGCCCGCTACAAGAGCGAATAAACCTATCAAAGGAATCCACTCCAGTTGAATTGAAAAAGTGGCCGTTAAGTGCATTGAAGCGGGCGAATAGCGATGTGGAATAAAATCTTTCCTAATTTAAGCAGGTCGTAAAAACTCCAGTGAGATACCTACCAGACGAGCGTCGAGATCAAGAAGAAATTTATTAATGGAGAGGGGTTCACTGGAATCTCGACTACAGGTCGTGAGGAAATCAAACAGCCGAGGAGTTCCAACACAAAGGACGTTATCAATTTGAAGAATGCGAAGAGTGGAGGCCATAAATTTCAGCCATTCCATAGAAAAGAAGTATTGCTGAACGAAATTACGTGTTTACAAAATTACCCAAAGCGTCATATCTACGATTAGTGCAGAGGTCATTAATTTATTATGTCAAAGGAACCTAAAGATGAGGATCTAGCTTTGAGGTTCTCACATTCCGAATGCGAAACTCCAGATTTGCATTATCAGAAAGCTCTGCATGTCATCAAAGGATTCCCTGCTACACGCAAAATAAAGCAAACTTGATTAAGGCCAATTTTCGAGAATGCCTGAACCTCATGAAGAAATCAAATAACAAATTAAATACCCGAATGAAGTGGTTCAATGCAAAAAAGTACAAGTTTGAGCCGAAGACAATTATCAGTAAAGAAGCGACCAGAAGGTATAAGACCTCAAAACGCTAATCACGTACAGCATGTTCGGAGGATTCTTCGAGTGGTTCAAGAAAGTACGAGGGCATAGCTAGTGTGAAACTTGACAAGCCGCTTATCACTCGGTGATGTTCATGTTTACCATCAGGATATGCGAACAACGCATGACAGGTTCGACAATAGCAACGATTCTTGCGTGCATATTTGGTCAGTGACTCTGCGGTCAGAGAAAATAACCCGGAGGAAGTAAACTCTTTGTCTCTTCTGCAAGCCGATGAGTTACGAAAAGCGGAACAAACATAGATTGGTGACCGTTTGCCCTTTCTTATTAGGCAGAGCTTTGAACCTCAAGACATAAAATAATGACATGAAAGGATGTTGCAGAGCAGTGGGAAAAGGGTCACAGAGAACGGGTGCTACGATAAAAAAGTCTGTGGCAAACTAAACCAGCTAAGATTTCTGTAAAACTGCTTCTGTTGACATAATTTCCGTGCTAATAGGCGAAACGAGATTTGAATAGAACATGAAACCAAATAGTTACGAGACTTTCAAGGGTGACTAGATACGATTCCTTCAGTCATGTTAAATAGTGTTTTACAGTATGCATTTCAATACCATGGGCGCAACATGGTGCATCATCCTCCAAACAAATTGATGAAAAGAACCCACGCCTGCGGGCACGCTTCTTGCTCATAACCACGCCAGGAACACACGCAGACTATTAGGAACACAATTTTAATTCTCGCAAACATTGAAGTTGACTAATCTGCTAACTCATGATAGGCTAAAAGGACGGTCCCAAATGCTTAAAACAATTTGTTCAGAATGCAATGTACTGTTACTATAACGATTTCAATATCAAAATTTTAGGTCATGAGACTAGACAACGTAAATTCTGCATAATTTCGAAATGTCATACTCACAATTTAAAGGCTAAGCACGTGAAAATACTGGGCATAGCTTGTTAATAATAACAATATAATACTTTTTAATGCAACTTCCCGATGTTTGGCGGTGTAGCGCCTCCAGCCTTCTGGTTGGGTAGAAGGCAGTGTAATTGGATACATGTATTCCAAGGAGAACAAAGTAACCAAGCCAGATCACCGCTTGAAGGCCAACCCACACGTACAAAGGTCAGTCAAATCTTAAAGTGGTCAGCAAGCGTTAGGAGATCAAGTAAACAGAGCATTACAGGCGGTCTTTGGTGGTCGTCTTATTCTTGTCCGCGTAGGCTGACCGTTGGAGCAAGCTGAGGCTCAATTCCCTCTGCTTTTTTCCAGTAGAATACATGCATTCAGTCAAATTTCATGACTTCTTCCATCAAGTGGGTAGTCTCCGAACGCTAAAAATAGCATCCGTATCGTATAGTTTATGCAAATGATCCATTTGTGTGTGGCAATTATCGCGTAATTGGAGTGCGAGTTTTCACTCCCTGAACTGGATAGAAATACAATGTCCATAGATTTTACCCCTTTTAGGAGGTGCTAAGTAGGCGTAAAACGAATATTCCAAGGGAGCGGAAGAGCTGGAGTTTTGGCTAGGTCCGAAGACTGGTTCGCGCAAACAATAGCAAGATAAATGCCAGGTTGATCTACAATTACACAGGCGGTCAACTAAACAACCTATTACAAGTTCACATCAGGAATAAAACTTCACTACTTGAATGGGGTGACGAAATGACCATTGAGCCGATTGCTGATGAGTTCTTTCCATCCGAAAAAGTCCTTGATTTCTTAATCACGATTAATAATAGCTCTTAACTCCACTTATGATACTCATTCTTCTTCCTATGAGAATACCTTGAACTTGCAACTATTTTTTCTTGATCAAATGCAAAATACAAATCTTAATAGTCAAGAATGGTCAACAATTCACTTTGGCTCTAGATGCCCAAATGAGACATTGAGCGTCGAAATTCTCCTGAACCACACGAGTTCCGACTGAGAGCACCAGGACAATCTTCCAAATCTCCATTATAGGATGTGCGCAATCCAGAAGCATCAACATATTAACTTCGAAAGTGAGTCAACCACGGGCTGTCAACACGAATGAATAGTGAGATTTGTTAACTGAGATTGTATTGCAACATTAAGTGTAAAAACAAGCAAGATCGACATGGGCAATAGCGTGGGATTAAACGCAGATAGGTAAATCTGCAGTGAAGGTGCCTGTCATGGAGATATTATGCATCTCTTACATTTCCATGCGTGCACGCACAACGTTCTCACTATCAGGAAATGTGACGTCGTGGGGGGATGGGTGGTGTAGAGGCCAGATTCTCCGTGTGAAGCGTGTCAAAGAACTGCCTCGAGGGAGCAGAAGACGAAGCAGAGGGCGAGAGACCCACTATTACGGAGGCTGTCCGCTGACCCGGTTTCGGCGGCAGTGGAGGTAGTCCACCATCTGCAACCACTGCTGTCCCCTCCCCTACTAAAGTTGAGGTAAGAACCGTTGTCAAGGGGAAGAGAGGACTGGGGCTGTGCGATGCTGAGGCGGGCGACGAGGTTGGAGGTCCATTACTGCTTTGTCGCCTTGGTGGTGGTGGAGGAGGTGGTGGTGGCGGAGAAGGAAGTGGTGAAGTAAGAGATGGAACAGTACATGTCGGCAGACGCCCATTGCTCAGATTCTCCATTTGACCGTCCGAAACACTATGATGGTGGATTGCTAAAAGAGCCAAATGACTACCTTCGTCCTATGCCATGCTAACGTAACCCGCAAAAAATGTCAGGTTCGGAATTGCAGTCTAAAATTGTGCATTCTTCAAAACAACCATCCTTAAGTGAATATAAACAGGCATTGTCAAACGGCAGTTGGGAGACCATAGTATCCTTCACCATTAAAAGTTTTTAAAATCGGTAATACATATTCCTCTATAGGGGACAGCGGAGAATTCAATGAAAAATGGGAGAGAATGCGTAGTGAAAAGGAGGAACAAACCTCCAGTGGAGGAGGCGGCAGTGGGTGAGGAGAGGGGCCGTGGCGAGGGTGTGGCAGCCCCTTGCGCGAGAGTCAATCGCGCTTGTTGACCAGCTCGGTGCTGGCGGAGCCGCGTGTTCCAGAGCACCGCCACACGCTGCTCCGCCGATGCGAGTGTTGAAGGCGGAGGTGGTGGCGCAGGTGCCGGAGCCAATAGTGGAGGAGGCGGTGATGGTGAAAGCATCGAGGGAGAAGGAGTGGGAGAACTCGAGAGACGTGATGCAGAAACCTTTCCCGAAGTCTTTATTTGACGTGGGCCAAAGAAGGCTTTGTAGGTGGCCACCTGTTCTTGCTGTAGTTTATCTTTCAAAGAAAGACCTCCCAAATAGTTAGCCGCCTGAATCGCTTCCTTATTCAAACGCCGCTCCTAAAACAAGCAAAAATATTGGTAAAATTAATTTACTTTCTACAAGCAAGCAATTAAATATTCATAGTCATATTTCCATAATGCAGAGTGGTGAACATTTTCTCCCTTGGTAGAGGAATGATTCGCAATTAGTGTTGTTAGAAGGCATTTTTCACACCGAAAATTCCAAATATGTAGATACTTAGGTAGTTGACGTTCAGCTAAATAAGCTAAACACAATATCTCTCAAACATTTACAAACTCAAGAATGATCAACCAGTTTAAATGGATTTTCAAAATCTCAACCTTTCTAATTAAATTTACCAAGAGGAGGTAGTTATACAAAGCGACACTTTAATAAACGATTTACCTCATCAATACGTGGGCTATTTTAATACTGACATTGGGTAGGTAACCCCTACAGCCGTATTGTTTTTGTGAGATTGAACAGTAAATGGCTTTCACAGGTTTCATAAGGACTGCACTTTAAGAAGTGGTTCGAGCCGCAAAAAAACAGACCAATGGTGACGAAACATGGCGGATACAAAGTTCACAGGCATAAAATTTCAAATGTGTACAAGCATTTCCCAACGTTACTCTCTATTGGATTCGAAAAGTGCTTGTTACACGGATATAACAATAGATCAAAGGATGGGTGACAAGCGGACTCACCACTTCAGGAGCGGGCTGAGAAGGTTCGGATGGAGGCTCACGGGGTTCGTAGCTCTCAGAGAGAGCGTACATTCTGGCCTCAAAGTCTCTATCTTCTGGGGTAAAGGCTTCCAAGGAGGCGATAAGAGCTTGTTGAATATGTGGTTTTGAAGGGAAGGCGTATGGTACAAGCTGATGCTGAAGGAAACGCTCGACTATTGCTGCCAGTCGACGCTGCTTGGCAAAGTTGATGAGGCCACCGGTGCCAGTGGCCCCGCTGGCGCCGTCGAACGGTGCACCGGTGGGAGTGACGCGGTCAGGTTGGTGCAGCTCCAAGTGGATGAGCTGCGTCGAGACACCCATAGCAATGTAAGGTAGACAGGGCGAGACAGTGTTGATGGAGGTTTTCTCCGCCGATGTTGGCGCCTCCCCACCTTCCAATCCACGAGTTATCTTTGTCACCCGACGCGCAGCTCCTCGGCCCTCTCTCTGTAGTTGCTGCACGCACTTCTTGTAGGGACGAGCACGACTCGCTGCCTATGGAGTTCAATGCCAATAGTTAGGTGGGCAGATGAGATAATAAGATAGCTCCTACAATCCTCGCGTGCGTATACCAGATGGACAATAACTAGATCAAGCAAATACTGAAATGTTGGAAAAGAGCATAGGTGATTCGCTTAGATTTATGAATAGATTACACTTGCACACAATAAATAGTGCCTATTTTAAGGAGTCCAAAGATGGACAAAACTTGTGGCTCAAATACCTCAAAAGCCTTTTTAAGGCGAAAGACAGCAGCAGAGAGGAGAACTGCTTTGGACTCTTGACGGCCTTGAAGATTTCGTTGATGTTCAAAAATGAGCATCAGATCGATAATACGTTGGATTGCGACCACCCGGTCCTCAAAGTTGCGTTCAGCGAGGATACAATGGACCAACCAATCGCGAAACTAAAATTTCAGAAGCAAGTCGCAAGAAAATGACAAACAATTGGTGATGCGCAAACATCGTGCATCACCTACAAATGCCTTTTAATTTAGTGCAGCGCCTGTAGTATTAATCGCGACGCTCGTTAAAAGTTAAAGAAATCCACTTGAGGCCGATGGAAATACGACTCCCCTTAAGTTGAGATTTCCAGCGCAAAACAAGACGTATAAGTAGCTGACTCATAAGTAATTAAATAGTTAATCTTCATCAATACCATTCGCTACGCTGTAGTCAAGCGCAAATCATTACTTAACCAAAAGACCTCCTATTTTCGACCAGCATGCAAGAATCCTGCTAGTCCGTTGAGGGAGAATTTTTGTCAAACGGTATTGGTGGTCCCGAATACAAGACGATCATCGGTTCGACCAGGTTATTTAATTCCAAATACTTACAGACGGACTTTCAGCTGCTCACAAAGCCAGCCAATAGACGCACGACCATGATGCATAATGGGAGGGGTAGGGCTAGTAGTGATGTGCAAGGTTTAAACTGCTTATTTGGATGAGTACGCACCTTGTTCGAGAAATTTTTACATGCACTAAGGTTGGGCGAGTCCTGTGAGGAGTGCTCACGACCATCCACCTCCCAAAATTCGATCCGACGGTACAATCCAAACTCGTGAAGTGTCACCTGCTCGGCCAACTCAAGAGGATGAATCTATAGTGGGCACAAGCACATGAAAAGGCAATTCAATGAGAGAAGAATTGAGTGGATTTGACCAAACGGTAAATTTGCTCCATGGGAAATTGAAGTGAATGTACTAATATTCGGTACAAGCAAGGGATGACATGACGAAAAGTTAACTGAACTTTTATGAATAAGCGCAGATTGAAAAGCGCCTCGCCTTGATCGACTACTTACGATGAATGAATTATCGTATCCAAAAATAGATACTGATTCAAGCATCCAGGTTCTAAACTTGGAGAGTCAGTTACCAGAACCAGATACGCACATGAGCGCATATTAAAGCAGAAATGTAAAGACTAATCAGACAACACTACCACGCTCTGCTTTTAGAGGTCAAAATATGTGGTGGATGTCAAAAGTCCATCCAGAAGTGCAAATTTCACGACCCGACTGTCACGTTTAATCCATGCACTATGGGATGGCGATGCCACACATTCATTTGTCTAACACAACTCATTGGGCAGAGTATGTTTCCACCGCATGCTCATGATGTACCAATGGTCTTTTCAATACAGTCAGGTTAGTAAACTCCGAATTGGATGCGCAAATCCAAGGGGCTTGGAACTCAGTACAAATGCGTGCATAAGCGTAACAAATGATTGTCTTAATTTAGTTCTGCATGGAGAGTCTCATCGTCGAACCAGATCGAAATCACGAATACGAGGTCTTTTGTAATCGGGAAGTGTTAGTTATTAAATAGTTATATTCAATTGTCATCACACCAAGTAGTAATTAAGTCTCCTTCGTAGAATATCTATAAACAGCAATTGACAATATTCGTCTCACTGAAAAACAGATTATGGTGTGTAAATATTGAAAGTGTAGTGAGAAGCTGACTCTCATCTCAAATCAATTTTGACCTCCTTTTTGCATCACTCTCCTTCCTCAATCCTTTTTCTGTGTATAAAATAATGAAACCAATTCAACAAAAAATAACTTTTTACTTCTTGTTAATAAAAATTCGAAACAAACCTGGAGTAAATCGATTCGCGAGAAAGAATCGGGAGATAAAGGAGGTGTTGGACCGAAATGTTGGTTATCGCCGTTTCCTTGGACTCTTAGCTGGGGTGGGTAGTGACCTTTAGGTTCAGTGATGGCAACGGCGACCTCGATGGAGGAGGTGGAGGTGACTGGCATAGTCAGCGAGTCACCTCTGATCAGAATATGCTCGATGGCTTGCACTATGGGAAGAAGAATGCGTACACGCACGCCAGCGAGAAAGGTGGCGAGGCGAGCACGGAGGTCAGCGTTGGACGCAAAGTCATAGGCGAAGTAGCGAGGTGAGGACGTCCACCTAAAGAGAAAGGCTACCACGCGCGCCTGCACCCACCTCTTATAGCCAGAACGAAAGCGTCGCTTCATGTGCTCCACAGCATTCTCCATTTTAAGCTCTTCTGCAGTGAATTCCGGGTAAGGCACATTAAAACGTTCCAGCAAAAGATTGAGCAGCTCTTCAGCGGTGATGAATCGACGGTAAGAAATTAAAAATGCGTTGACAGCTTCAGCGTCGAAGTAGGCCGGGTAGGTTAGGCGCTCAATGAGCTTTTCAAGGGTGGCGTACTGAATTTGGGGTCGATGAAGAGTAGGATGATGAAATGAGTGACTGGGGATCGCCGATGAAGTGAGTGTTTGGGAACCTAGATGCGGCGAGTGGATACGGGAAGAAGTGGAGGCTGGTAATGGAAGGGCAAGGTCCTCATCGACTCCCCCAAGGGAATCCTCGTCTGTAGGGGTGGTTGGGAAGAAGTCTACATCGACAACTTCTACTTCGTCATCCAATTCTTCAAGGGAGTCAAACATGTCGTCCGCAGACGCCGTTGTAGACGTGGAGCGTATTCGGCTTGACAACGAGGGTTGGAGCAGACGATGAGTAGCGGCACTGGAAGACTGGCCTCCTGATGCTGGTTCAAACACTATAACCTCAGGGGTGTCGGGTTGGGCAAACCTGAAGATGGATTTAGTAGTCACATAGGCAACGCAGTCTCTAAAATGGTCTAATTCCAAAATTGGTTTGTTATACATAGAATGGCTTAAGATGGAGGTTGCCGCAAAATTACCCAACAGATCATTTGAAATGCTCTGCGCGAGTTGTTTTCGTAAAGTCAAGTTTTTTATCTCACAATACATGACCTGAAATCAAGTAGACAAAAAAGGAAGGTTTGAACACTGATAAGCATTCCCACACGTTTTTCTCGGTTCATCGCTAGCAAAGCCACCAAAACTTAATGGAATCATTTAGATACTTCAGATTCAACCATTCAATGGTTTGAGAAAATCGTGTGGTTTCCTCTCTTAGCCATGCCAACAGCAAACCTTACCCTCTTACCGGTGATAAGGCATTAGCTAACACTATTCAACTTTAAGCAAAACGTACCTGTATTTATCAGGTGGAGGAAGTCTCAAAGGGATTTCTAGTTTAGGCAAAGTTCGCAGATAGCGCTCGTATACACTAGACAGGGAAAAAATCCTTGATTTCATAGCAAAAATAACTGAATAAAACTGAGGGAGTGGGGTTATTAACAGCACCAACTGGATCAAATAATCAATAAAGCTTTAAATAGGATCAAAGTGATGATTATGTGGAAGAGTTGTGTGGTTGAAAAGCGCCAGCTCAAATAAGAACTCACTGTGATGTCGTTATGCTCAAAAGTGAGGCCATCCAATCGGCCTTCTCTTCGGGACAGGATGTCTCAAGGTGGAGGTAGTGAAATTGCACCCCTTGAGGTACTTCAAGACCGCCGCTGAGGGCCGAGGCAGCGGAATTGCCATCGCCTCCGCCTACACCATCAGAAGTGCCGCAAAGCTGACGCTGATCAGTGCCAAAGAACTCCAGACTGAATGAGCACTGCTCAATCTCTTCTACTGTGGAGTGTAGGCGCTGACTTGAATCTATAAATCAGTTGCCACATTGCCCCAATGCCTGACGGATGTGAATTTCAGTTTAATTACGTGTCGAATGAATTCGCACCAGAGGGCACTAAGGGTGCGAATTCATTAATAATTACATGTTTGGTTCGAACGCTAAATGTGAGCTAACAGCCGCCTATTAATCCCATTGCTGAGAAATATTTAGTTAAAATTTTAAATGCAAGAAGGGAATGGGGGAAGAGAAGTACCAACCAGAGACAGGGCAGCGAGAGAGCGATGTGCTGGCAGAGAGGAGTGAGGCGCATTCCACAAGGGAGTTTTGAGGATGGGAACCGGAAAAAGCCTCGGATCGAGGCCGAACAGGCGCAACACAGTCGATAACATGGACAGCCTCAAGAGGGAGACGCCGCTTAACTCGTAGCTGTGGCTGAGCGCCTGCCACAGCTGCCATCGATGGTGCCAGGGTTGTACGGCGCTCCACACGTTTGCAAAGGAGGAGGCAATTTGTAAAGAGGTAGGCCTGTCGTTCGGAGACAACTCGCTTTCCTTCGTCTCGCACCCACAGACGACCTTCTAGTGTAGGAAAAAAGTAGCATGCAACACGACTAACACCCCATAAACGAAATATAAACCAATATCGAACAAAAATGCTACAGAACCAACGATGAAGGGAAATTTAGGGTAGCTGACTGATGGTGCTGGTTAATTTGGACTGCTTTTGAGAAATCTGAAGAAACTCTATCTGTAAAACCGAGAAGCTTTCCCCAACATGCCTTAATTTGACAAATGACAAGAACAGTTTTATGGCATTTTCTCATTCGGCAATCAGGGCAACCTTACCCATTACAAACTTTCCCATTGCGGAGCTGGCGGAAGAAGCAAAAAGGAGACGATCCTTACCACCAGTGAGACGTTCCAACTCCTCCAATTTGGCTTTTGTCACCATACTACTAACGTCTCCACCCATGAGAGCCGACATCATGGAGTCAACATGTTCCTCTATCTCCTCCTCTGACATCACCACTGTCGTTGTTGATGTTCCTGACACAGTGGGAGCAGGCGACCCCATGACCAAAGGGGAGGTCGCGCAGCTACCACCCGCACAAAACACAGCCGACAAGGCCACGATGGGTGTCTGCAACGGATGTGACTGTGGTGGAAGTGGGGGTGTGTTACAGTGGTAATGGCGGTGCTGATGCTGAATGGAAGAGTCGCGACGAATGGGTGGAGTCATGGAGGTAGCAGGCGAAGCAGAACAACTGCGATGATGCGAGTTAATTCCGGTGGAACCAATGACCTGGTGACCACTAATACTTGAGGTAGCGGACGTCTGAGCGGTGACGAGATGCCCAGTTGTAACTAAACGAGCCAGCTGGACATGAAGGTCAGGGTATCGAGTGAGAACGCATTTTATATTCAGCCGAGCACTTAAGAGATAATCCACAACAAGCATAAGAAGCTTCCTATCCTCGGAATCGTATGCCTGTTGATGTAGTGCCTAGAAAAAAGAACGAAAGCTTGTGCGATTCCTCTCACAAACTTAGTAGTAGTTGGAAAAAAAGAACGTACATGCACAAGACGATAGAAGTGGAAGAATTGGAAAATAGGAAGAAGGAGAAGACGTGGAAGAAGATAGCGAAAACAGTTGATAACTGCATTGCAGTTATATGAAGGTGAGGAAGCATCTTTGGTGGTGGAAGAGGAGTACTCCTTCTGGTCCCACATTCGGCAGGATGGACAGCAGAGGGAGTGGAGACACATCACATCAGTTGACGTTGTCTAATGCAAAGGCGAGAAAACACCCAAAACGAAACCAAAATCCTTTCGGAAATTAACCTTCACAAAACCGTTTCTCAAACAGTTTCTCCTACTAACATATATCCAAGAAGCACAACATAAATACAATAGTGTTTGCATGGAAAATGTCATTACTTTTAAGCGAGAGACGGTGTGTACAATGGTTCGACTAGACTTTGCAAGGCTTTCAAGGACATCAGCACGTTCCGAAAGCCTCCAAATATTATCGAGTGGATCTGGAGAATCCGAATAACTCGCCAGAGCAATTTCTTCAGCGGGCTCAATCAAAAGGCGGCCAACGAGACGACGATTCTCTGTTGTCACCGAGGTTGCGAGAAAAGAATCATCAGCCTCCCGTTGTTGACTAGCTAGGGGAAGGGAAGTGGAGAAGGATGAGGTGAATGGCAAGTCATCAGCGCAGTCAGACTCAAGGTAGTCGAGGAGGAGACGAAAATTGTTGTAGAGATCGAGAGCATCCCGAAAGACCTCCCGCACGGCTGCCTCCTCGGAGCCGACGTCTAGAGAGGCGCATGCCGAGGAGTGAAGTATAGGCTCACGGAACACACGTAAAATGAGATTCATTTGCTCGAGGCTAGATGAGAGGAATAGTACCAATTCATCTACGCACCTATATTAGAAGACAAAAGTAGAACATTTTAGAAACCGCACAAATACCTGTTCCGAAAATTCAGTAAGACATTGGTATTCCGATCGCCTTCCAATAAGCTTTCTGAATTAAAAATGGTAGTGTACGCAGAGGAAGCAGCGTGCTTAATGAAATAGAACACTAAATTGTCACTGGTCGATCGGGGACTGAAATGTAAATGATGGATCAGCTCTCATGCTGTCGGTGGAGAGGTATTCAGCTAGGTGGTTAATTAACTAGAATAAATTTTGCCATTCTAGGACATCTCAGTCTACGGCCTGGATAGAAATGCAACGATTGATGAATACGTGGCAAGCGAAATTGGCAACAATAAATAGAAAGTAAGCAAACGGTTAAATTGCGATGGGTTGAGTGGTTCGCGTCACTACAATATGCGATTGTTCCAGAATACACGGTCTTACAGCAGGATCAGCCGATTTTTAAACAGTATTTACTTTGCTCAAGTAGTAAAGCGATTCTAGTGATAGCTGTCCTAACCGTAGGACGACACACCTAGCATTATTCCGCGGAAAAAGAACTACGCGAAATCGGTAAGTAGTCAAAGCATAGCTAAGAGAAATGTCTTGAAATAAATAGCACTTTTGCGTGGCACCAGTCGGAATAAATTACTTGTCCAATATGAAAAGTGCATTAAAAAATAAACACTCACTTGTTATAGTCCTGAGGGAAGTTATTCGTAGACGTAATATCCATTTGTTTACGTTGCGACTTCACACGGTCACGGTAGAATTGGAATATGTTCTGCGTGTGAGGGGAGGTAAGTTAAACTACTGAGCGATGGAAGTGCTGTGATTTGACCTGATTCAATAAGGAATAAGAACTAAACTCATTCCTTCTAAAATGCCTCATTGACTGCCGCGTAAATTGGAAAGCAATGCAAGTAAAATTATACTAAGCGAACGAAAAGTGATTCCTAGTCGAGTGGCAAAGCCAACCACCCATCCATCACTTACTAAAGGGTTTAAAATGTTCGATTTCGTGGAGTTTTGCATTCGCCACCGAAGCCCGGAGTAAACAAATTACAAATTGTCGTCCAAACAAACGAGGAGCTGGTTGTTTATTTAAAACTACCATCAAAACACCAAACGGTAAGAACGTACAGACGCCGAAACTTAGGCACAGTGACCGTACATGATCCAAAATGCATTCATATTCACAATATTTGTGAGTGGTTCCAATTTGATTCGAATGAAAACAAACAAATTTGACGAGCGAAGGAATCCAAACACTCATGTCCACACGCGACTCCCTCAGAGGGAGTGGATAGGACATCATGATTAGTAAAAATGACATGACGTCTTCCGCGTAGGTGAATAACCCTACTAGTCCGTTGCAAAGGCATTTCGATATCGCAAGGCAGGAGCCTGCAAACCTGAGTCTGTTGTGAGTGAAAACGCAAATGACAGTAAGCCAGCGTAATCGACCTAAGAAGCAAGGGTTCGTGGGGAAAGGTGATGTAGGGTTAGGATCGAATTGCATGAAGTGTTGGCAGCTCAGATGAGACGCGTTGCACTATGCCTGAATAGCGTGAACAGTAACTCGCATGTGGTAAATTTCAGTTCGCAATAGTTGTGTTGACGTTTAAAGGTAGTTATTATATCACCGTTGATAAAAATATTATCCCGATTTCGAGTGATAGCGTAGATATGGAGATGATACGATGAAATAAACAATGTACACTTGGAAAACCAAGACGGGGAAGCAACACGTTTGATGTTTGCAAACACGACGTAATTGAATAATGGTCAATCTAAAATGGAATCGTACGACAAAGTTTATAATAGCAAGCTTGCAATCGACTATACCGCGATTTCGGATCGAAATAAAAGTATTCACTTGAGCCGTTGGATGCTCCATCGCAATTTCAGTTTACCGCATAAATCGCAGCAATACGAACCAAGCGATTCGAGTGCAAAGTGAGTCCAAACGATTGCATCTTATGAAGGTTTTACCTCGCAACATTAAGGCATTTTGATATGCTACGCACAAATCTACAATTTGCGATTGATAATAACAGGACAATAAGGTTAAACCCAGCTCACGGTGGTAATTGTAGAGGCGAGGTGCAGATTACATTACTTACGTCTGTATTTGATACAAAATAAAGTTTATGAAGCACCCTAGGTGAAGCATTATTTTATGAAATGAGCACACTTGAACGCATATATGAGAATGTTTTGTTATTGGATTGAATAAGAATGGTCTTAGAGGGAGAGATGGTCCTTGAAATTTTAACAACTAGAAATTTTGAACGTCAGACCCTCCTTAATAAGTAGCATGTAGGAATAAGGAATAGGAATAAGTAGTCGAAGCTACTCCACCTACTGATAGGCACTTTCATGAGGTATCTCCCCAATAAAAGTTTAAGAGATCTGTACCCCGACTCATCCACCACTACCCTTGCGTTCATATGTGGAATGGTGAGCAGTAAGGGGGGAAGGGGAAGTAAGTCCGATATTCAGTTGCTTGAAGTGACATCGCGAGGCCTCTGACAAGACGTGTACAACCGCGCACATACCAATGCACGTACAGTAGTAAAATGAAAGTACAATTCCATTCGAACACCTCTAGAACTTTACCATAGCGTTGTTTACCAAGGTGCAGAAGCATATATACACACGCCACACGTACATAAACGAAGAGATGAGAATGCGGGCGGGGTAATAGAATGATAAATGTATAAACCTTGTTTTGTCCCCTCAAACACAAAAAGTGGGCGGACAGAAGAAAAGGCAGGCAAGGATAATCTCAGTGTCAAAATTACTATCTTAGCACTAACTATTGTCGCCTGCTTTCAGTAAGATCCCCAGTAGACACTAGATATAGGTGAAATACAAATACTTGAGATGATCCTTGATGTGCACTTTGCTGAATCAAAAACTAAAAAACCTACCTATTCTCACTTAAATATGATGTAAATGAAATAACCTACCAAGTTCGAGACAATTAAATCTTGGACTCAAAACTCGTACAAGAATGGAGGGAATGAAACGAACCTGAATAGTTACGGCGCTGATCACATGCTCGGATTGAGCGCGTTCTTCAAAGTAAATAACCATCTTGAAAAAGTAGAAAGAGTGAGTGAGAGGTAAGTGAATCGGGGACATTTTTGCATTAATGAAGGGAATGTGAACTCAAAACATTAGAACAACGAAGCCATTAGAAATAAACGCTTTGGGAAATATCAAGCTAGTAGAACCAAATGATCGACTAACCGTAGGTTAACTTACCTTTAGAAAGTTACTAATAACCTTTTCGGTTACCGCAGTGATGTATATGCAAGTGGGATAGTTAAATCGGCCAGTGAGCTCCTTAAGATAAAGAAAACAACCAAGTAACTAGTTTGATTTGGGCCAGAAAGAGGATTTTAAATGTCATCCCCTCAGACAATTGACAACAGAGGGTGAAAATACTATGGTGGCGTAGTAACCGCATTACTACAGATAAATTATTGTGTTTGTTTTTCAGTTACAAGAATCCAAAACGCAAACTAGGAGTTACAAAGCCCTGCGTACCACCTGCACTGAGTGGGCGAGAGCAGTGGTCCTACACAACTACTTCCGAATGGCTCCGATTGACCCACGAGGTGCATATTGAAGATCAATTCCGAAGGAAATGCCAACGAACGAGGTATCCCTGTCTTTCCTCCTCATCAGCGGGGGATGAGTCGGCAAAAGGACTATTTTTGGGCGAGTTTGAACACACGTACACGGACAACCACTCACTCACGATGGGAAACAAAACATGGTTACGCATTCGCGTCAGTAGGATACAGCACTGTGCGATCGAAAACAAAGATTGTACCCCTCAAACAGGCATTGATACCAGCGAACTTTTTAAAATACCTAACTTGCGGTAACCAAACAAATGTAAGCCCATTCGAGATCTGCATTTCATCGGTAATATTTGCCCAGTAATGGTCGTACTTTACATTAAAAAAGGTGTACGACACTCGATAAGTGCGCGCAGACCCCATTGTCTTAGTAACGATAAAAATCTACGTATGTTAACGAGTTTAAATGGCACGAAAGGAGGGCTCTTGTTGAAACTCATGCTAATGCAATTTTAACAAAACTGAAATCGAAATTAGCTTGTTGAATTGGAAAGCGAAAAAGGCTTATTTGGTTTACACATTACGACGAAAATTCCATTCACACAGTCTCGCGTTTTCCTGCAATGGTCTGATCGTTTCCACAGTTGACAAAATTTTTTGGGATGAAGGAAATGCAGATACACGAGGGGGAAGCTTCAAAAGATAAAAGCACAAAAGCAACAAATGGAATTTACCTTTAGCGCAGCAAATATTTTATCGACTGGCAAATCCAATGACGCGAAGAGGACCTTTCTTCCCTTTTCAGCGAGTGCATGAAACTCCTCCAGCTCGGCCTTGGTAGGCATCAATTTATCAGGAAAGCAGAGCTGACCCTCATCTAACCGAGCATTCACATCCCTAATGGATTGAGGCAACGGCTCAGGTAGAATGAGGGAGGAAAGAAGTTCGATGAGGTACTGAGTTAGTATCTCGCGAGCCCTGTCTTCCAGTACTCGAGGTGTCTGTGATACCGCCAAATCTTGTTCCCCCAAATGGTCCCCCAAAACACCTGCAGAGCGGATTATCAGTCACAGTTTGCCTCTCATGCATAACCCTCTAACACACCATTTAGCGACCTTAAACACTCCAAACGTCCAATAGAAGAACATGGAATGTATTTGGTAGCGAAGCGCGCCTAAGGCATAAAGCTATTACTTAATCTGGAATGAATGAAAATCGACCAATATCAGTGGTGACAACTACTCTCTAATGTTTAGTAAGTACACCAAACATTTGGACTCAAAGATTATTTACAGCAGCCAAAAGGAGTTAAATCTGCCCCAGAGGGAGAAGCAATTAATACCATAGACAGAAATAAGATACCTGCCATAATGGAATACTGCATTGTAGAACTATCTAGAGGCATAGTATGAAACACCCACTAGGTTTATTGTCCAAGCAGCATTTCTCGAGGATTTTGTCACAAGCGGCCTCTATCTGATCCCGGTATCGGTTGAGCGCCTGTGCGAGCACACCACTTTCCCGCGGAAGGGAAGCAGTGGAGATGAGGGATACTGTGGAGATATGTCTAGCAATTGACGACGTCATAATTCAGTCGTTAAGGTGCGTGTTGAAGCAGCGTAGAAGGCGAAGGCAAGACATCGCTACAAACAAGCAAATTAACGAATCGACTTAAATTTGATCATAAGCTTATTTTTCGACGGAAAATAGTATCTACGAGGCAACTCTTTATTCAGTACAATTTGATGCGCCTTGAAGCAAGGCTAAATAAGGCAAGGGTAAAAGCAAACCTCACCATGTCTGGCACATACTAACAAATAAACGAAAAGAAGACCACGCCACGAAATATGCCCCCGAAAACTCAGGTTTTATTTCAAGATGCAACGTGTCCTTGTGCCTAAAAGCTATTATGAAAGGCTAAGATCGCATTCAAATTTTAAATTAAAGACTCAAACATGCCAAATGAACACCTTCTAAAATTTGACAAGTACAAAAGGCTAGAAAACTATTTTGGTACAAAGTGATTGATAAACGCACTTAATCAAGAAAATAGGCCATGAAATCCAAAATTTCAACATCATTGCCCTCCGAAGAGAAGGAATTGACCACAACCGCAAATCAAAGCGAAAAACTTGGGGCCTAGTTAGGACTCCCAGACACAAACGAATGCATGCTAGTGTAGGATCATAATGGCCGCCATCCCAACGATACCTCAAACAGAAGGATAGCTGAATACTGGGAAAGTGACATAAAGCAGAATTGCAACGTCAGTTGACAATTATGAGATCATTAATGGTCTAATAAGAATACCATTATAAACCGATGCTACTATTTCGGCTAATAAGAGTAGGATTTATCAATGAAATTAGGAAAGGCAGTCGAAGTCCATCAGGCCACAAGAGCGCCCACAGCGCCAGTCATAATAGCGAGGATCGCGCTCAAACAGTGGGTCGAATCAAACAATAGTATGGGATTGAATACCTTTAGATTATCACTAAAGGCTTTTTGATGTGTGTGGATTTAAACCACCAAAATCAGTAAGAAACACTCATATAAGAGGTAGCAAAGTCGAATTCGCCTAAACCTTGAATTTTAAAAAACTACCTGCGGCTTTGAAACTGGGAAACTCTCTTTAGGTCAGTACTATCAACGTCGAAATTATCATTGCTCTTATGTTCCGAGGCGTCTCATTATGGTCAGAGAGAAGGACTTGTTTAGTCTTTGGCCAGATCTGAAGATCAGCCAAAGCAGCCAAAAATATTGTGTATCACAGTAACCATCAGTCACACAGGCATTCCAATAAACAAAGCACCACCATCATTGCCATTGTATCGAAGTGAAATCTCTTCGAAGTTTCCCAATTGTTAATAGAAGGCATAATGTGACTGAATGTAGGTTTTGGCCTTGGCACAGTCCAAATTTTAACCTACCTGGTAGAATTTATATTTCTATCAGTCGGGACTCCCTTCATACAAGCGGTTGAATAATCAAGGCAGTAAAATCGCTGTGTATGCATATATGACAGAGGCAATAAAATATCTCAGCGTCTGAATGCGTCAATATAATGTGATATCTAACTTCAATGACTCAATATGAATTGAGCCATTTGGTGTTGATTGTATAAAACCTGTGTCTCTCTTGCAGTCTTAATCAACAATATCATGATAAAATGATATTTATTGCTGACTTAAAGACGAGTGCAGAGGCCTTAGCTATAATCGAGAACTAGTGGTGCAAACGCGCGTCTAATGCGATAACTACGAGATCTACACAATAAATAGGTACATTTAGCATTAAATGCGTTTGACATTTTAATGCTTTGTTTGCGTGACTGCATGCATGAATAGAGGTCACGTCGTCTACTACCTCGCCTTCGTCTTACGGGATGGCTTTTGGGACAGACCATGGTCTTGCCTCTGCCCTTTCTGTTCGAATATTAGTTTTCGGTTGTTCTCAGTACCTTCGGCTACCAAACAGGAAGTCTTGGGACGTTACTGGGGTATTACTGTAGTATGGTGATCAAATCTTCCGTTACCCAAAGGTATTAGAAGCACCGGACCGTGCTATACCTCGGACTTACAAACACATTTATCACAATTCTCCAGAATTTTCCACAATATACCCAAACGACTTTTGTAGCTTACTGTTCTCTGCCATGCGTTGATGGATAACAAAACTTGATTTAATGGTTTATATCCACGAAACCATGCTTTCTCGGTCCACTAGCCCAAATACGCTACAAAGTTTGGGAAATCGGTATGCATGTTGGAATTTGATGGTTTGTACCCTTAAAGGACTCTATGTAACTGAGCATCGGCTACACGTTGAGCTGTGAACTTTACTGGCTGGGCTATTTTGTTTGCTAACAGGCCTCGTCACCAATACAGTGTGAAAGGTAGCTGTAACCTCGGTGCTGCTTTATGCAATTAGAATAAACTTGTAGTACCTACACAGTAGGTCAAAATCCGACTACTGAGTTTATTCCACTCTTCAATTCGAATGCCTCTTATGATAGTTGTTAGGAGTCATGCAGGGATGGGATAAATAAATCGGATCAGTGCCCTGGTTTTACAAAAATATTATTCACAACTTCTGGTGGTAGGAGCGTAAGGTTCAGATGTTTCATGCTTAAAATCGCGTGCACTCCTCAAGCCGTACGATGGTGGGCGTGCTCGAGGAAGATCGAGGATGATGCAAAGTTCCATTTATTTTTTCTTTAATTGAAGATAACTGATGATGGTGGGCACGTAACAGGGTGGTCACAGAGGTTGCATTAAAATCACCGACGCTGCTGCTGCGGCGTCCTGTAAAAAAGTTTAACTTGCTTAAAGAATTTGTGGGGTGGGGACGAGGTCTAGTTATAGACAATGGTGCAATTTCTACACATGGTGCCAAAGAAACATGTTTGTGGATGTGTGAATATTGGAAATGATATCGTAAGCTAAAATAACGCCAAATGTTCACAAGCATCCATCAGTGCATGCAAATCTTGCCCGACTACTTTATCTACGTTAAATAAGGGTTGGTTTCTAGGAAAAAATTATTCATAAGATTTTGGGGAAATGATACAAATATGGAGAACCTAGAGCGCAAATTATGCAAGTGAGAGTGCTCTGCAAGTTGTTTTGCAACTTACTTAGATTCTGGTTACTTCGTTTGAGGGATCCTTTAAATATTACTTTTCTTGAACTATATTCGTTGAAGGTGCTTCTGCCCGTGGGAGCCTATGGATGAGAAAGGCATGAAAGGCCTAGGATAAGAGTTCGTAGCAGCGTGTGTCCGGAGTGCTACATGCAGGATTCAAAACGAGTGATTATAGATGCACGAAAATGCACACGGACGCGGACGTACGCCGATCAGTGATTACAGACCTGGCCGTTGACTTGAAAAAATAGCCGCTCAGTAAAAAACACGGCTTAAAACAATCTCTTTTTAAATAAAAGGTAAACACTTTCGTCACAGAACCAAAGACACATATTGCGTGGATTTGCGCCAATCAAAAGTGCTACATACATCTACACATGAAGACGGTTAAGTATTTCATTATAGCGGTCTAATTGAACCTGTGCTTGAAATACTGGCAAAGTTTATTCCTTCAGAGTTGTGAGCTCATACACTCCGTTCCTATAGTTAAGCTAAAGTTTATAAAGGAGCAAAACCAAGAGCATCTTGTGAACACATCAACATATGCAAAACCTCAGAAGGTGGGGAAGGAAAAGTGGTGGTTATGGCAATTCGACATACAGAGGAGACGTAGGGAGGCAGTCTAGAAAGGCCTAGCGAATAGGAAGGCGAGGGGGAGAGGTGGTAACGCGGTAACTCCTCAATTTGGCAATCATCATCGCCGACGCCACTGCCAATGAAGAGGACCTCTGACGATGCTGAGCCATTGTCCATCCTTTCTCTGAGCGGAAAATGTCAGACGTGCAGTAGTCAATGGCCAATCGACTAGCATAGTTGTGCCAGAAGGCACTCCATATCACGTTACGATGTTTTCAAAAAACTTGACCAGAAGGCGTTTTTCAATGAAAAACATTTAGCTAAAGGCAACTTTTTACGCTGTAGTGACTTCAGTAAAGCACGAGTAGTTATTTTTGCCTGAAACTGACAAAACGGAACATGGTATCACATCGGAAGAGCGGGAGGCTTGCAAAATCCACTCAAGGGAACAGAATTTCATATACTGAACACGATCAACTGTGTGATGTGCTTTTTGCGTAAAATGCAATTAACTTCAAAAAATTTTCCAACAGGGCGGTTGATTGGACGAATCCACTAATGTCACACGGAACTGCACTGATCAAGCAAAAGGTTTGAGAAGTGAACATGCACCTCTTTAATGGGAGAGAGCATACTCATCATCATCCTCCTGCAATTAAGCACCAACAACGTAACTATGCACTTCCACTACTTTGCTTTGTTTCGCAGAAATGACGTTAGCAATTCAGTATAAGCAAAAATAGAATTATTTAAGGAACGACTCCTAGCTTTGCGTGTACCATTCGGAACAATTACCTCCAGTCCCTTGGTGGTGGTTCAAGTTCTTTGGCTTTCTGGTTACTGAAAGGGAAACAATAAAAGACTTTAATGAAATACACTTCCCCAATCCGTTATTGGTAATCGCATTTGACTTTGAACAATTCCTCAAACCGTACTATCACTATATTTTAAGATATACATATATCAGATCTTATGCTTTTGAAAACTCAACTGCCTTACCCGGCGGGGAAAAAACTGAATCAATTATGTGCAAATAAGGAAAGCACTGCGATAAATTTAAAAACCCTTTTGAATTCCCACAAGTGGGGTTCAGTGTTATTATAGGGACGCAATTGCCTATGAAATACGTGCAATTCGTGAAACCAAGACGCTATAATGATCTCTACTTTTAAAAAAGGCACTTGTGGGATTTTTAATCATAATATGATGAATAGATGCTGCGGATTAGATCCAATGTACTCACGCTCCACTTTCGCTGATCAGAACGAAGTTTTCAAACCATTGTTTAAAGGCCACATCTTTGCGAATCTTGTAACGCGTGGCAGATGATTGTAAGTACATGAGCTTTGCCAGTACCTTGTATTCCC